AGCAGCTCAGAACTGATGGCCCTCACCACCTGCAGAAAGAGACAGACAACAAAATTTTAGAAGGGGTGCCTTATCTCTTAGGAGGAGAACCCACCACCCACCTTCCCTCTCAAACACCCTGGGAATCCCCTCCTCAAAACTCCCCCCCATTTTCCATTAAAAGCATTTTCGGAACAGAGCATCTAGATTGGCACGGACGCCTTTCCGCAAAAGTGCTTTTGCGGAAAGGCGTCCATGCCAATCTAGATGCGCTTTTCTGCAAAAAAGCCCCGTTTGCCATTTTCGTGATGGAGGCTTTTTTGCGGAAAACAAATCTGAGCTGTCTACACTGGCCCTTTTGCACAAAAGTTTTGCGCAAAAGGACTTTTGCCCGAATGGGAGCAGCATAGTATTTTTGCAAGAACACTGACAATCTTACATGAGATCGTCAGTGTTTTTGCGGAAATTCAAGCGGCCAGTGTAGACAGCTGGCAAGTTTTTCCGGAAAAGCAGCTGATTTTCCAGAAAATCGTGCCAGTCTAGACATAGCCAAGGGGTTTTACCCTTTTGGGCTGCCTTTTCCCCTCTCTGCAGCAGCTCCCTGGCCTGACCCTGTCATAGTAAAGAAAATATTCTTTTGCTTGGAGAATAGATCTCTCTCCTTTCATTGATTGCCCTGTTGAAATGAATGAGGTGTAAATGAGACTGAAAGGTGAGCACCTCCAGCAGCAGTTGCAATGGTGGAGAGAGGCTAGGAGCCAGATACAAGACAATACCTGTGAAGTGAAAAGAAGACTGGACATACAGACGCCTTGGGAGTCAAGCAGCAAGTGCCTGTCCTTGAAAGAACTCTCTTTGAAGCATTAAAAAGGTGAGGTGATGACTAACTGGCTGCACAAGAAGGATAAATATGAGGCATCTTGTAGAGGGACCCAGGGTTTTTGTCTTGTCAACATTGGAGCATTGATCCGGATCTGCAGAAGCCTGGCTCCACCCCTTCCCCATCTAATGCACCTGGCCAATGTAGTTAGGGGGAGCAACTATTGGTAACAACGAGTGTGCTTGTGTGTGTGTGTGTGTACACAAGAACATGAATGTAATGTATCATATGCATATGATAAAGTATTGATTAGTCTATGTATGTTCAATAAATGCAGTGTGTTACCCTATCCCCTAAAAAAGACCCTGTGTGCTTCTTTTAAGACCAACAGCCACTCCTAGGTGCCCAGGCCTGGTGCATCATTTCCCCGGGTTACTGACTGGCTGGAGCCAGTTCTGTATTGTCTCCTTCAACAACAAAACTGAACAAATGGATCTTGTGCCAACCTGGCTGTATGCTGGACTAGTGCTGTGTGCACCACGGAGTTTCCTGCATGGTGCCCACACAGGAGAGGAGAGGGGCAGTTTGAGTCACCCAGCTTTGCCCCTTCTGAAAAATAGGATGTCTTCCCAGTTCATGACAAGGACAAGTGTGGAAATGGAGCCTCTAACTGACCTGTTGGGTCACAGCCACTGTAACAACTTTGAGTGAGACCAGAGCAATGAGTGGTAGTTTTCCTGGAGAGAATCATGCTGTTCTCCCTGACACAGGATCAAACTCAAACCACAACAGTGAGAGTACTGTAGCCTAGCCACTAGACCAGCATTTCTCAACCAATGGTACAACTACCCTTAGGGGTACTTGAGAGAAGTCTGGGGAGTATTTCAACACAACTGAAACTCAGAAAAAATGGATTTTTTTGTATTAATTTTTACAATGCTTTATTATTTTTGTACTTCTTACACCCAAAATTTCATCACCCATCTTGCTACAATTAAATTGTTTAAACAAATGTGTTGCAATAGTAGAAAAAAATGGTGTGTCTGAAAACTGTAGGTACTGGGGGTACTTTAATATTTTTTTTAAAAGGGGGTACTTCATAAAAACAGATTGAGAAACACCGTACTAGACTGCCAGGAATGCAACAACAGCTCAGCTATACAAACCTTTCACAGGGCACTGTCTGTCCACTTGAGGAAGTGGGTCCATTCTCCCTGGTTCAGAGGGGACAAGAACAGAAACCAAACAGAACATCAGAACAGCCAGACTGGGCCATGCCAGGCATCCATCTAATCCAGGATCCTGTCTCATGACAGCAGCCAATTCCATTGCCCCAGAGGGGATCATGAGAACAGACAACTGTCGAGTGATCCTACCCCCATCACCCATTCCCAGCTTCTGGCAAACCCCAGCTAGGGACACCTTTCCTGCCTTCACGTTGTCCCCAATGGGGTAACCTGACAGCCCAACTTCTTGATGCCACAGTGCCCACCCCAATGAACCCAATATAGGCAGGCTCCCCAACCCAAGCCATAGAGGGAGGCTCAATAGTCACCCCCTCAGCCTAACGCAGAGACTTAAAGAGCAGGCCTGGGCCATGTAAGGCCGGCTACTCAGTTCTTCCCTCTCTCTTCCCCCAGCAATCACCATGGTGCAAAGCACAGAGAGATGGGGAGGCAAGGCAACATGTGGGGCTCTGTGGTGTAATGACAAGCATGTTGGCCTTCTAAACTGTGGTGCTCAGTGTGAACCACACCAATCATTCAAAGGTTGTGGGTTCAAATCCCACCACTAGCCCAGCACACAAGCAGATCGGCACATTTTTGTTACTACCCCAGAGCCTAAGGAGGTCCACAAAATCTACTAACTCTGGAACCCCAGGAAAGCAAATTTGGCCTATGGAAAACCCTGAACCTCAGTACTCTCCATCCCTTCCCCTCACCCTGTGAGTGCCAAATGAGTGAGGTGTCTCATTTGGGGGCCACATCATTGGGAGTTTTGGGAGGAGTTTTTTTGCTTCTCACTTCTGTGTTCCCTGATTTTTCTGTGGCTTAGTGGCCCGGAACCCCAAAAAAGGTTCTCCATGCCTGCAATAAAGAAAACATTGAATTTCTTTGTGTTGGACACAAATTCATATTTTACTTTATTAAAAATGAAGTTTGATCAACCAACTTGAGAAAGTTAAAATGCTTAATCTTTGTAAGAATTTAAATGCAACTCCCCAGCTGCAGCCTTAGCAAAATGGCTCAAATGTAATTTAAAAATTAATAGTGAGTTTCCATTAACAGGTAGTCTGCAGAAAGTTTTGGAGTGGGCGAGGCCTCAAGAAAGGGGTGGAGGCTTGCAGAAAGATCTGGGAGGGAGCTGGGGTGCAGAAACAGGCTGGGAGTAGGGTGTCTGGCCAGGCGGAGGGCGCAGAAACAAGGGAAGATGCAGTGTAGCCAGGAGAGAAGGTGCAAAAACAAGGGAGGGTGTCAGAGCAAGCTGGGGGGGCTGGGTATTGGGGGGGAGGAAAGGGTGAACCGGGCGTAAGTACTCACTGAAAAAGTGAGCATAGTCTTTATGGAAGGAACATACAGGTTGTTGGTGTTTTTGCATAGATCTCCATATCGCCGTATCTTCAGCTGTAGCTGGGATGCGCTGACTTGGGCTTATTGTATGTGACGGGGTGAGGTCATGGAGGACCTTTTGGGGGTGATTCCCAGTGTGCTGACAAGGCCAATGCCATCCTCCTTTATCACCCCAGAGGGAGGCTCTGTTACTACCACAGCCCTGCCATGTAGCAGCAAGTCAACCATGGAGACCAGAGGCATTGCTGCTGCTGCCACATGGCCTGTGGCCAGAGGCACTACTATCACAGCCAAGGAGCACAGAGCTGGCCCCCAGAGGCATCCTGCCATGGTCACATGGCACAGGAGGCATGAAATTCTATGGCTGTGGGCACAAGACAGCTTTGGAGGCCAGAGGAGCAGCCTCAGCCCCAGCACTGCCTCCTCTCCAGTTGCTACATGGCAGAAAGAGGGGGCAGGGCTGAGCTCCTTCCCTGGCAGCATATGCCCATTAGGGGGCAGGGCCTGGCCCTGCCTCCTGGGCAGGATCAAAGCCCTAGGCAGGCCCCATTCTATCCATTGAGAGGCTTTTTCCCACCTCTAGTATAAGGTTTCTCTCCTGTGTGGGTTCTCCTATGTGCAACAAGGCTTGAACTGTCACTGAAGCTTTTCCCACAGTCAGAGCAGCAGAAGGGTTTCTCTCCTGTGTGGATTCTCCTATGGGTAAGAAGATTTGAGCTCCGACTGAAGCTTTTCCCACAGTCAGAGCAGCTAAAGGGTTTAGCCCTTGTGTGGGTTCGCCTATGGATAAGAAGATTTGAGCTCTGACTGAAACTTTTCCCACAGTCAGAGCAGCTGAAGGGTTTCTCTCCTGTGTGGGTTCCCCTGTGCAAACGAAGATTTGAGCTCCGAGTGAAGCTCTTTCCACAGTCAGAGCAGCTGAAGGGTTTCTCTCCTGTGTGGGTTCCCCTGTGCAAACGAAGATTTGAGCTCCGAGTGAAGCTCTTTCCACAGTCAGAGCAGCTGAAGGGTTTTTCTTTTGTGTGGGTTCTCCTATGTGCATCAAGGCTAGAGCTCCAACTGAACTTTTTCCCACAGTCAGAGCAGCAGAAGGGTTTCTCTCCTGTGTGCGTTCTCCTATGGATAACGAAGATTGATCTCTCACTGAAGCTTCTCTCACAGTCAGAGCAGGTGAAGGGTTTCGCTCCTGCGTGGGTTCTCCTATGGATAGCAAGGTGTGACCTCTGATTGAAGCTTTTCCCACAGTCAGAGCAGCTGAAGGGTTTCTCTCCTGTGTGGATTCTCCTATGGGTAACAAGATGTGATGTGTGACTGAAGCATTTTCCACAGTCAGAGCAGGTGAAGGGTTTCTCTCCAGTGTGCGTTCTCATATGGATAAGAAGATTTGAGCTCCGACTGAAGCTTTTCCCACAATCAGAGCAGCTGAAGGATTTCTCTCCTGTGTGGGCTCTTTCAAGTTTAGTAAGAGTTGCACAGTCACTGCAAGCATAGGGGGACTGTTGATGGTGTATTTGCTGTTGAACAGTTGCTGTGTTTGTTTTCAACCCTCTGCTTCTGTGACTGGATTTACTCTGCCCCTCTCCTGGATGGTTTCCCTGCAGTCTTTTTGGGCTATACTGTCTCTTACAGGTCTCTCCTTGCTCAGAGCTTTGAGAAACATGCCCTTCAGATCTTTCCACTAACACCCCACATGTAGACATTTGGTCAGGTCCTTCCTCCTGAAGACTCCTTTCACTGTTCTCATTCAGCATCCCATCACCTGCACCTGCAGGGACAGAAAATCCAGACACGAATTATTCCCTTTGCTAAGCTAAAAGAAAACTGTAAAATACAAAGAGAAAAGGGGAAATATGCCCAAAGAACAGGCTGAAGAGTCAGTGAAACTTGATGAAAATGCACAAGTGACACCTGCTGTGAGGACTCAGAAATTAGTTTCTGAGTCAGTATAGCTGATTGCTCACCTGCGTGGGTGTCACTGATAAGCTCCCCTTCCTCACAGCTCTGGAGAGCTGGGATCCACAGTTCCTCCCCCTGCTCCACCCTGGAGATCACATGAGCTTTGGAGACTGGAAATCCTGTTTGGGGAGCAATTAACCAAGTGCTTACCATGTTCATTAAGGTCTATGCCATTACTGCTTCCAGAGTCAAGATCTGAGTTGCCCACCCAGAGCAGCTCCTTCCCCACCTTGCAGAGACTGGGCTCTGGCTGGTACAAGATCCCAAGACACACTCACTGCAGGAAAAGTGCATCCCCCCACCCTGGGAAGACCCAGCTGATTCCCCAGGGGAGCTGAGCACTCTGCTGCACTCTCCAGGGTACAACTACATCTCCCTCATGAGCTGTTCCATCCCAGGGCAGGAACACACTGCTGAGAAGGGGAGATCTAGGGAGGATTTTCAGGTCTGACACCGAGGTCCCCAGACAGGGCTCAGACTCCAGCTGCCATATGGCAGGTCACTAGGGCTTGGAGAGGAAGGACTGAGCAGAGCTCTAACTCCCCAAGGGCTCTGTACACAAAACTCCGGGCTGGGGGGCTGGGCTCACCCTGCTCTCTAGCTCAGATGTTCTACTTGGGGCAGAAGGAAGCAGGGGAAGTTGTCTGAGCAGGAAAATGAACCCTTGGCTGGCTGCTTCAGGCCCTGCCTATGTTCCACGCTCCTGATCCCAACTGCCTCTGCCTGGGTGGACCCTGCCAGTTGCCCACAACAGCTGTCATTCCCGCAGCCAGCCAGGATGGAGATGGGTTGTGCTGGTACTCTGGTGTTTGTGAGAGTTGCTGCAGCTCAGCTCCTCTGCAGAACCCTCTGCAACCTGGGTTCTACTCTGCCAGCAGTAGCATTTGTGTGATTTCCCAGTCTCCCTCTTCTGGCCAGTCAGGCCTGCCATTTGGTGCCCCTCTGGGCTGCACAGAATCTACCAGAGGCAGGAAAGGATTCTGAGGTGGCACCTTCCTTCCAGGGACTCAGCACAATAGCAGAAGGGGAGCCTGCAGGCACTTACAGCAGCTGCACCCAGCTGCACAACTCTGGTACCTGCTTTTCCTGCCTGAGCCCTTCCACTGACACCTCCGGCCAAGGCACAACATGGGTAAGATGGTGGGGAAGCACAGTGAGAACTTGGCTGTGGGAAGAGCAGCACCAATGTTAGGTCCCTGAACTTGCTTCTCTTAGGTGGAGGCGTGGAGGGAAGAGTCTCTCACACAGGAGCCAGGATTATTTGGCAGATACTCCTGACGTTGGTAGTGGGGGCAATGAGGGATCCTGAACCAAACCCAACCCAGTTGCTCCAGAGCCCACTCAGTTTCTGTTACCCAAGGGGACAGAAATCCTTACCCAGCCAGCTCACAGCCTCATAATTCTCCTGCATCACATCCCTGTAGAGGGCTCTCTGGCCCAAGTCCAGCAGAGACCATTCCTCCTCAGAGAAATACACAGCCACCTCCTCGAAGGTCACTGGCTCCAACACGGCCATTTCCTGTCCCTGGCTCTGCAGACCAGGGGCTGAGCTGGGGAGAGACATGGATGTTTTGCAGGCTGGCAAGGGGAGAAGGGCAATTGGAGACATTTCAGGAGGGGCTTTAATCCTTTCCTCACCCCTATTCTGGCAGCAAGGCGGGAGGGAAGCGACTAGTTGAGTAGTTACTTGACTACCCAATAAGCAAATGCTGGTCAGGTAGGTGACTACTCGACTAGTTGCTTACATCTCTACTCTGGACCCTTAAAAAAAAAAGAGAGAGAATTGATTTAAGAAAAACTGGATTTTGGCATCCAGAAGGGCTGTGTCTGGACTGGCAAGTTTTTCCGCATAAGCAGTTGCTTTTGCGGAAAAACTTGCCAGCTGTCTACAATGGCTGCTTGAATTTCCGCAAGAACACTGACTTCCTACTGTGTGAAATCAGTACTTCTTGCGGAAATACTATGCTGCTCCCGTTTGGGCAAAAGTCCCTTTTGCACAAGAGGGCCAGTGTAGACAGCTAAAAACTGTTTTGTGCAAAAGCGCGTCTAGATTGGCATGGACGCTTTTCCGCAAAAAGTGCTTTTGCGGAAAAGCATCCGTGCCAATTTAGACGCTCTTTTCTGCAAATGCTTTTAACGAAAAACTTTTCTGTTAAAAGCATTTGCGGAAAATCATGCCAGTCTAGACGTAGCCAAGGACTGTCAGAGTGAAGGGCTCCATTGGAACATATTGTAACAATAGAGATGGCACACACAGAAACCTTTACACCAAAATGTGTGATTAGAAGTACAAATATACAAGTAAAAAGCTAACTATTTGTATATACAATACAGTAATAGAAAAGTAAAATGTGTACTTCAGGGGTTGCAGGATGGGAAATGAATTACAGCAGTGTTTCCCAAATTGTGTTCTGTGGAAACCCAGGGTTCCGTGAAGTGAAAATAAGGAAAATTCCATTAAAACCTGAATTATTGTAAAGGAACAGAATTTTCATTCATTTATGAATTTCACTGAAAACAATTTTCATTTGTGTTTGCCACAATAAGTGTCCTTGTGTAATGCCATCTTAGCCAGAGAGTAGGGATGATGATGTCACTACCCAGCGCTGCGCATGCAGTCAGTCGGGAGTTCCAGAAAATTCTTTTGAGTTCAAAACAGTTCTGTAGCCAAATAAAATTGGGAAACACTGACTTACAGAAATATAGATTTTGGTAAGAAGTTTGCACATACAAAATGATTTTCAAATGTAGCTCAGTGCTTTCACATTTAATCACCTGGGCCGTAGTAATCATCTGGGAAGCAAAATCTACCCAAGTGGCCAGCGATGGGGAAAAGCACCAGGCTAATGGTGACCGTATTTCCCTATGTTTCTGTATTTACAACTGGTAAAACGACTACTATACAAGTGGGCTCAGCAGCAATCCATCAGAACTGAACTGCCCAACAGTTCAATTAACATCAAATCCCTGTTAAGCATAAGGACTGTGTAGCTGGAGCCTTCTTAAAATATAAAGTGTACAGTGCTCACTTTATTATAAATATATCCACTGTCAAAATGACAAACAAAAATGACAAAGGGTGAAGGAGACACCCCCTACACCTCTCTCACATATCTATGTGTCTGACAGAACTGTCTAGGAATTTTAAATGTCAGTTAATTGAATAGTCAGGTAACCTCAAGAATTCTTATTCTATACTCCCTGGGGGTGGGGCCAACAGCCAGCACACTCCAGTCTTACTTCGGAGGAGCCCTCTGCTGGTGGGTAGGCGGCTGGGGAGCAGGGATTTGGCAGCAGCAGGACCTGCCAGTGCTGATGGGGAGACAGAAAATACAGGACTATTTACCCATTTTTAAGAACAAGTCAGAGCAGCTGAGGTTAAATCCAGCCCTGTCCCTTTAGCCCAGGACGTCTGCTCACTAACTAAAGTCCTGGAAAGGAGGCAAAACAACAGCTCTCTCAGGCAGCCCCCAGCCACTGAATCTCACCCCCTTGGACAGTGCCCACCTCTCAGGAAGGGAAGAGGCACCTCCTCCAGGCACTAGCCACCCACACAGCCCTGGCAAGTGGGCACTGCCACCCCCCATCCTGTATTTTTACAAAGACTGCAAATGTCTCTCCACACACACTGGAGTATTTTTGGGGGCGGGGGGAAGGCAGGGCTGCCCACAATTTACCCTGCTGCTTGTCCCAATTTTGCCCTTTGGCCCCTCTCTGGGCCCTGCAGCCAGTTCTCCTCACCCCCTCAGTCAGTTTGGCTCCTGCACAGACTGCCTCCCCTGCAATTTCATGCGTCATTTTCTCTCCACAAACTTGGGGGGGAGGGGATTTTTTGGGGTCAGAGGCTGCACACACGCAACCAAGAGAAGGAAAAAAATTTAACCCCCCCCGCTCATGCGACCCTTGACTCTCCACATTCACCACACACGGGGGAGCGGCCAGGCCCTGGGGAGCGAGAGACTAGAAACCAGGGCGGGCTCCCCAGAGGTTCGGGGCCGGGGCCAGGCAAGGCCACGGGGG